CTGTATCCTTGGCTTTAGAAAACCTGGCAACAAGTTTAAACTCTGCAACCCCTGAAATAGTGAAGGCTACCAGAGGCCTGACTGTATTCTGGCAATGCAATGATGTGGCAACATTTTAGAAGTGCTACTTACTATGAATTCCTTAGTGCAGTGGAGTGCTTTGTAATAGGGGAAGGTGTTGTAATCCCCTTGGTTTAGAATCGTTTCATAATAAAAATGCACTGTGAGGATTTATTTAGCTAGCCATTAATACTGGGGGAATTCTGTGTAACTGCAGTGCATCGGAAGAAAAGCCTGCATCCTTACAGAAACCATTTTCTGCAGGGAAGAAAGAGAAGCTGCACCAGTCAGTTCCCTCTCACCCTTCCCAGCAGCTCAAACACATCTGTTCAGGCAGCTAGGGGGAGAAGTAAATCACTGGGGTGGGAAGTCTAGGGATGCACTGTCACCCAGAGACATTAGTCCCAGTTAGGTGCTGGAGGGAGAGAAGGACAGAGGAGTTGTTCTCCCTCCCCCTTCCCTGAATGGGGCAGATGGGGTAGTGTCAGATCAAGCCCAAGAATTTTTCCCTGGTTGCAGGAAGGTGTGTGTGTTTGAGTGCAAGGCGGTGGAACTCACTGTTTGGGGGAGGGTTGTGGGATTTGGTGTGTGGAGGTCCAAATGCATGGTGGTTGGGCAGACTGGGGGGAACAGCTCCCAAGGAGCCTGATGAGTTCCCCCTCACCAAGCTCACTCCGTATCAGGAGCCTCTGGCAACCAAAACCCCACCCACTGAACCTTCCAAAAACCCATTCTGACAAGCTTCATCTTCTGCCTCAGGAGTCCCACCCCCCCCCATTGAACCCCAATCAGCTGTACCCTGACCCTTCCACTCTCCTTCACTGAGCCATAACCACTTTCATCTCACCCCCCCACCTTGCAGAGTCCTATTTCCCCTGCACACAGAGCCCCACACCCAAGCCTCTGTGCACTCAGATTTCTTCCCCACCCCTCAAAGACACTTCCACCAAGCTGCGTACACCCAGTTTGTGCCACACAAAACTCTGGTACTCTTGAGGAAATTCTGCACCAAAAAAATACAATTCTGCAGAGTTCTGCATATTTTAATTGTCAAAATAAACCAAATACAAGGGGTGGGAGACTCTGGGCTGGAGCAGTCTAGCCAGCCCCTTTTAATCTGCTTGGTGATTCTGTCTCTTCTGTATGGTTTTGAGATGCATTCCCCACACATCCCATTCCCCACACATCCCATTTTCCTGGGACAACCAAATCCTGACCTTGCTTTAAGTCATAAGAGGAAGCTGTATACTGAATTTGGTGATCCTAGCTCTTACCGTTGACGAATTCTTAGATAGACTCTCTCTCAAATACATAGTACATAATATAGTTTGTATATACGAGAAAAGTCTACCAAAGTCCCACTGACCTCCTAACTGTTCCATTACTAAATGCAATCACGGTTTGTAGTCACTGTTTTGGTAGACTTTGATTTAATCATTTGATTGCTTGAACATACTGTAGGGCAGCAGTCCCCAAACTGGAGAGTACATCCCCCAGCAGTTACCCAATATTGGGTGTGGTAGGGTCTGGAACAGCTCTCGTAGTGGGCTGGGAGGGAGTGCCTCCCAGCTCTGTTTTGTCCCAGTCGCTAGCCTTGTACCCTGAGTTCCCATTCCCCAGGAGCTGTGGCTTTAATTCCAGCCCTGGTTTGAGGGGGTACAGAGGAATATGGACAGAGGTAAGGGGGGGCATAACCCTGAAAAGTTGGGGGACCATTGCTGTAGACCAAATCCCCTTGTCTTCAAATATTCTTATTTACTTCATTTGGACTACCTGGCTGGCAGAGTAAGAAAAGCAAGTTCTTCTTCAAATGGTGTCCCCATGGGTGCTCCACTGTCGGTGTCGGGCTGGTCCCGGTGCCACAGATCGGAGACTTGTCAGCAGTTGTCCACCGGACCGTGCATGCGCGTTGGGCACCTCATGCCTTTCATGCCATTTCTGTAGCGCGTGGTCCGGATCCCGTCAGTTCCTCCTAACCATCCTCAATCGCAGATGGAGTGAGCTCCCTCTTTCATTTCTCAATTCCTGTCAGAATAGAAATAGAGTAGTTAGTTAGTCAGTTTTTTCTTGTAAATAGTTCCTAATCCTAGTTTGTTCAGACATTAATTTATATATATATATATATAAACAAATAAACAAACAAACAAAGTAGTGAAGACCAGAACAAACTGCTATTATGCCTGGTTTGCTGGGTTTCAAGAAATGTGGTGCCTGTTGTGACCCAGTGCCTGCCTTGGATGACCACTCCCGCTGCATTCGCTGTTTGGGAGAGTGCCATATACCGCAGAAATGTCCTCATTGCTCGAAGCTGACCGCTGACGAGGTGTAACGGTAGTTCGAATTAGCCTAATTTGAACTACCTACTCCGTACCGCGTGTAGCCGTGGGCACGGAATCCGAACTACTGGGGATTTAAAAATGGTGGCGCCCGGCAAGATGCAAATGAAGCCTGGGATATTTAAATCCCGGGCTTCATTTGCAACTTCGATTGACTACATTAACCACCCTAGTTCGAACTAGGGTGGTAGTGTAGACATACCCTTAGATATTGTGTACTTGATTAGTTGTGTAACCGCATGAAATCTTAGCAGTTACATGACTATTCAGTAGTCCCCAGGGCGGGGCTGGCAGCCAGTACTCTCCAATTTTGCTCCTGGGAAGTCCCTGCTATTCCGTGCTGCTGTCTCTCTATCAGGTTGCCTCTCCCGACTGCCCCACCTCACTGCCTCTGTAGGAGGCAGCATATGAGGGGCAGGTGGGTCAGTGGAACCAGCACACACAGGGAGCCTGCTTGAAAGCCAGCTTCCTTGTGGGTATTGGCTACAGCCTGTCTCCCTCAGCCTCTGCCCTGCTGCCTCTCTATCAGAGGCAGGAGTGCCGGGGCAGAGAGGCAGGCTGATCTGGTACTCTTGGGGAATCTGCTTAAAGCCAGCTCCTCACAGGCACCAGCTTCCACTCCCTTCCCCCTCTTGCTGCCTCTGATACAGAGTGGGGGAGGGGAAATTGTTGACAGGATTAACCAGTAAGTTCAGGCTTATAGGTTAATCGTGTAATCAACTACATGTTGACATCCTTATGCTGAACCAGAGAATTTGTGTAACCACAGGAGGTCAGTATTATCTAGTACCATTACCAACCCTTCCACTGCTCACTGGGTTCTTAGAAGACATGTAGGGGTAAATTAGAGCTAAATAACAGCACAAAACACTAAAAGCCGGATTGGTGGCTATAAACAAGCTTTATGGGACCATGGGAAACTTGGCCACACCCATAAGTGAACATCTGGTTTACTGAAATCATGCCAGATCAGAGAGTGCCAGACTAGAAAGGTTCAATCTGTACTCTATCTAAACTGCAAAGGAAGTAATCCAAATATATAGGATCCCCTCTGCTCATGGATTTAGGGGACAAACAGTCTGGCCTATTATCTGTCAAGAAGTTGAGTTAGATTTCTATATGTCTTTCAGAAGAGTTAATTCTAACACAAGAATGCCAAAAAAAAAAGTTTCCCTGAATCTTCTTTGTATTAATGTTGTGTTCAGTTTTAAAGGGGCAATGCAAAATTCTAAACATGAGTTTTAGAATATAACTAAAGGCAGACATAACTTAATATAGTCATTTTTATTTACTTCATTCTCATGGCAACGTTTATAATGCCTTTGGATAGTCCTAGGTGCTGTTACATAATTAAAATTTGTAAAATTATAAATGCAATCTACATAATACATGAGGCTTGATGAATGGTATTTAAATAGATATGTTTATCCCTGCTCATATGCTCTTAGTCATTTGGGATCTAAAAAGTTTTAAAAGATTTATTTCTAAAACATTTCAGTTCATCTAATTTATATCGGCATCAAACGTAATGCATGTATTGTCATCCTGGATTCAAATTTTCTTTTGCTAGTCTGCTGTTTTATAATAAACTTAATTCTGGTAAAATACATAAAATATTTATAAACACTAGAATTACTGGTCTGTGAAATGTTTGTACAAGTTTGTTCACCACATTCAAATAAAATATAATTTCATTCAAGAGTAAAAATATATGGCTTAGAAAAATAATTTTCTGCCCCGGGCAGATTCCTGGAATCAGCTGCTGATCTGTTTCAGTAGCGGCTGAATCGGGGACCCCTGGGGCAGAGCAGCTGGGGTCCTGCCGAGTTGGTCCCGCAGCGCCGTCCTTTGGCGCTGCGGGACCAACCCGGCAGGACTCCAGCTGCTCTGCCCCAGGCGTCCCCAAGAGTGCTCAGGTGAGGGGTGGTGCTATGAGACCAACCTGGCAGCACCCCAGCTGCTCTGCTCCCGGCTTCCCCGATTCAGCTGCTGGTCAGTTTCAGCAGCAGCTGAATGGGGGAAGCCTGTCCCGATGCCCCAGCACTTCCGGGTTCCTGAAGGTGCCGGACCATCAGGAGTCCCGGAGCATTGGATGCCGGACTAATGGAGTTTTACTGTATACACCTTCATGAAACAGTGGTATCAGTCCAACACCTTTTCATCAGCACTTTAATTTTCCTTAGAGTAATATATTGGTCATTAATATTGAGCTGGTGTAGAAGTTAGCATATTTCTTCCAAGAGTGAAATCATAACTTTACCATACTGTACTTTCACAACCAGAGATTCCAATCTATAACACTTAGAAGCCTATTATGTTGAAAATCATTGTGTGCATTTATAAGTATAATAATAGAAGGATATAGGCAGCTTGATTCTATTTGTAAAAAGTATGTGCTCCATAAATTTCTTCTCAGAGCAGACAGAAAGTTTGACATAGCTCTTATTGGTCATTAGTTTCAGCTTCATATTTTGTAATATTACTTTAGGGAATAGACATATATGCACAAAATGTTCTGTTATTTTCAGTGTTCTTATAACTTAATATTTTGTATTATTAATGTTACCTGTTTTTTTTAGTGATTGATATTTTCCTTTATTTCAGCCAAATCTTTTACATCTAAGGTAAAACAGATGCGATTACATAAAGAAGACTTTGAAATCTTGAAGGTGATTGGTCGAGGAGCCTTTGGAGAAGTAAGTTTTTTTTGGAATGTTGAATGTATTACAGACAATCTTTTGCAGTCAGAAACTATTGGTACCAAGATATTGAAATATAAGCTATCTAGAAATACACAGAAATAGTAGAAACAAAAAACTGGACTATGTAGCACTTTAAAGACTAACAAGATGGTTTAATAGGTGATGAGCTTTCGTGGGCCAGACCCACTTCCTCAGATCAAATAGTGGAAGAAAATTGTCACAACCATATATACCAAAGGATACAATTAAAAAAATGAACACATATGAAAAAGACAAATCAAATTTCAGAACAGAAGAGGGATTGGGCGGGGAGGATGTAAATAGTACACAGAAATAGTACTAAGTGAACTTGTAAGGATATTTCGCAAAACATTTCAATTTCCACGTATCTGCATTGGTCCAAAAATAAATTCTGATCACTTCCACTCAAGGCAGTTCATATTTGGATACAGAAGTAGTTATTGCCAGCCTGCAGACAGTTTTCCAAAGGCCATATCTGTGAAAGTGTGCACATATATTTCATAATGTTTGATAAAGATGCAGGCGGATGCCCAGAAGCTCATTGTAAAAATGAATATTAAGGCCACTAATTCAAGTGTCTCATGTGATGCAGAAGATTTCAAAGATAGAGAATTTACAGGGTAGGGAATATTTGCTTTTTGCACTTATATAGCACTTTTTATCGGAAAATTGAAAGAAATTTATAAAGTTGGGTAAAATGTTATTCCCATTCTGCATATGGGGAAACTAAGCACAGAAAGGTTAAGTGACTTGAAAAAAATTGCATATAAAGTCAACTGGTCTTTTGTTTGACATTTTGTTTAGCAAAGGTTTTGAGTTTTCTAGATAGAAACAGTCATGTGGCCTCCAGGATGGTCTTAGAAGTGTATCACAAAAGATGGAAATATTTGTGGTTCATGTTCTCTTTTATTCAGAATAGATATCTGTGACTTATTTAATTTTTATAGCATCCAATTTAATTCCAACATTGTGGGTACACGAACTATTCCCTTTCTGTTCTTCCCTTTTTGCTTCCAGTTTTGAATGGTTATTTAATAATATTTCCATCCTTGTTGTTCTAAAACTATACCAGACTTTTGTCATACTGCATTTGGTAACACATACAATGGAGTTGTAAAGCTTTAATTTTCTGCTCCTGTTCATCTAACAGCTTAGATCATAGAGATTCCCTCTGAAGTTTGAACTTTCCAGAAAGGGTGACCAGGAACTGAAAAGCCTGCAGAAATCAGAGACTGAAATTGACAAGTTGAAGGAACCTTAGCTTTCAGCCTCTGTTTTTAAAGATCATTATGCGAACATGTCTCATACTTTCCACACACCAATAAGCAGTGCACATGCAGAATGGGTAGTTTTGTGAGTGAACAAAGTATTGAATGGTTTTGACAGCCTAATGCATTAAAGATAGGACTTCAAGGTAAAAATCCTCTACAGAATATATTCCTTATTGCCTTGGAAAAAAAATCTTAGGCAATAGAAAGCCAATGTTTTTAAGACAGGATTTGAGAGGAATATTCCTGTTGTCCATGGAATTTAAGGATTTTTGGAATATTATGTGATTTGGGGTCTGTATGATGGCTCATCTGGAGGACATATGCCATATTTATGCAGCAGGAGAAGAAGCTGTTTCAAGGACATTTATTTTCTTTCATGAGTAAGAATTAGGCTACGTTTGTCTAGAGTCATGGAAGGCTGAGTTTCTGTAGCTGCTACTAAAGGAATTGTAATTTTTACTTTAACGTTGGCCCCTTCTATTGCTGTCATCACCTCTATACACTTGTTTAAAATATGAGAACCATCACATAACAGATGCACATTACAGTGCTACCAGGAGCAAGTATATTATGTTTATCTCTTCTCTTGTTCCATTGGTATTTGTTAAAGGAACTGAGGTGTGTATTCTCTGCAAACTGTTCTCAAGACCATATTAAGGATGTGATAATGTATTCGTGTAAATGGCTAACTGATGAGCCAGATACAGAGGCAGCAGCCCAGGGGAGAGCAGGCGGGAGCCAGTACACGTGGGGAGTCTGAGGCAGTCGCACGAGGGGGGCCAGGTAGCTCCACGGGAGATGGCATGATCCAGCTCTGGGGACCCCCGTGTATAAATGTGTAAAAATTCAGCGATTTCATGTTTACACGAATGAACTTTTTTTTAAAACATTCCTAGACCATATGTATGGAAGCCTAAATCCTCTCCTACGCAGGTTGTCTTTTTGAGAATCAAGGAATTTTGCATTGGAGCCCGTTCAAAGCCGGTGGTGTATTCCTCTCCACTTCTGAAGACCTAAAAAGTGTTTCAGCCCTGTACGGCTTTGCATCCAAGGAGATATCAGGAGCTGTATTCAGTTTTCTCTTTGTAGTCACCTTCTAGCTTGGTGCATAGAAAGTAATATCTTGCAGAAGAAAAATTATCAAGAGGAATCCCTCTTTTCAGATTCTCACCTCTGCTCTCTTCTGCTCCCTTCTGCTCCTGCTTCAGTTGACCATCCCCTTCAGCTCATAGAAATCTCTCCTTTTGGTTCCGCTCTGCTGTTGCTGCTGAAGTTGCACGTGAATCTGAGCAGTGATGAAATGTTTGTCCTTGACCTCTGCCTCCAAGAAGGATGTGTGTGTGTTTCTTTACGCCTTGCCTAGAAACACCACATTCACCTGTGGTTTGTGGGGACATATTTAAAACCTAAAATGACTGACCCTGGCGATAGCATGGTGCATAATGTTGCATACACAGTTCCATTCAAGTTTGAATTACATACAGCACAGCTTAATTTATCTGAGTGTTTTTTATTAAGAAATTGAGAATAACTTGTTTTCTTGTGTTCAATCCATATTTGTGACCCCAGTTGTACTAGGCTGTTAGGTGGAAAAATTGTTGCCTCTTGAATCTGTGTCAGGCTCCCAGACAGGTAGCCAAAGCTCATCCAAACCAATTGCTTATTTAGCTGATGTGGTTAAGACACATCAATTTCATAGCCAACAGTACACAAGGGAGTGATGTGGTCAGCGTGTCTGAGTGGCTTTGACTGCCTTAACCCAAGGGAGCAGATAGCCATTTTTGCAGCTAAGTGGATTAACGGTGGCCTCTCACTGTGAGATCTACTAAGAATTGAACACACGATCTTTCAGGATTGTAGTTAAGCATCTTAACTGCTCTGCTAGTGCTCTGCAAAAGTAGAAATATGAAAACCTGCAGAGCTTCTGCAGGAAGCTCTTTGTTGTGAATGAAGCCACAATGAAAGCATAATTTTCCCCACCCTCATTTACTGTCAGCTTTAGGTAGTAATACAGCGATTCTGCATGCTCTAGACCAGTTTTTCTCAACCTTTTTTTAAATAAAGTACCCCTTTTTCCAATAATAATAATAATCAGGGCTCGCCGAACCGCAGCGAGCCCCGCTCGCCAGCTGCGCTGTCCGGCGATCTGGGCATGCGCAAATCGTTCTGCGCAGGCACAGATCGCCCAAACCTGACTCTTCCAGGTTACAATCTACTCGCCACGGTCGAGTAGATTGTATTATTTGTCGAGCCCTGATAATAAGTACCGTCAGTACCTAGTTTTCAGACACACACATTTTTTTTCTAACATTGCAACAAATTTGTTTAAACAACTCTATCATAGCCAGATGGGCGAGTAAATTTTTGGGTGTAAAAAGTACAAAAATAATAAAGCTCTATAAAATTTAAAACAAAAATTCAGTTTTCTCCAATTTTCAGTTGTGTTGACATGCCCCCCAGACTTTTCTCAAGTACTCCTAAGGGTACTCGTTCCACTAGTTGAGAAACACTGTTCTAGACTGAGGTGGGCAATAAGTGTCCAGGCTGGGCCACAACTTCCCACAGGTCCTATTAACTGGGAACAATGAACCGTGGCCAGTGTGAACTGAGAACAGACATACTTGCAGATGCTCAGATAAATGAAGTGCCCGGTGGCCTGCCTGAGGCTAACCCTGGCACACTACATCTGGCCTGTGGGTCACTTATTATCCACCTCTATTCTAGACTTTTTTATTGTTTAAAAATATAATTTTGCCTTAAAATAATACCATCAACCTTTTAAATTCTTAATACCTGTCTTTCATAAAGGGCCAGCTAACTCCATGCCATGTTTCTGAAGAACAATGTATAAAAGAATCTTTTTAAAAGACTTTGGAATTTGTCTTTTTTAAAATATTTTGGCCTTTAGTAACTAGCTATGCTGAATATAAAATAGATTTATTACCTACCGAAAGATAAATTTTAAGTGATTGTAAGTAACAGCAAACAGGACAAAATAGATTACCATAAGAAATAAAGCAAGACCACAATCTAAGTTCTGTTAACTGGATAGGATTTGAGTCAAGCAGTGTCTCACCCTGGTAGGTAGTATAAATAGTCCACCAAACTTCCATATACAGACAGGCTTCCTCCTTTCCCATCTGGGACCAGCACTTCCCCCAGTTCAGTCTTTATCCCTCGGTCTTTCCAGGAGTTCTCTTGTGTGGGAAGCGAGGCCCTAGTGATGATGTAATTTCTCCCTTTTATAGCTTCTTCCATATAGCTGGAAAGATCTTTTGCTATGAGCTGAGCCAAACAGTTCCTACTGTGTAGTGCTATCTCTGAAAGGTTTCCAATATTAACAAATCCTGGTGTAATCCTTGTGAGCATTTGTATAGTAACTCCTCACTTAACGTTGCCCTGATTTATATTATTGCATTGTTATATTACTTATCTATTAGACCTCATGCTTGTTTAAAGTTGTGCAATACTCCCTTATAATGTCATTTGGCCTCCTGCTTTGTCTACTACTTGCATGATTTTCTGGAAAAGCAGTTTGTCTTGTGGGGACTTGGGATCAGGATGGGCCAGCAGCCCACCCTTCACATCAGCTCCCCTATGTTCCTTGTGAAATAATGTATGCGGCTGGGCAGCTGCCCACAATACTTCTGCTCCCACTTTCCCCCACTGCCATGATGATCCTTGTCCTCTGCATTAGAGCTG